CCCTCCCATATATACCCAAATGTCTCACATAACACCCTACACAGAAACATCCATGGTCTTTCTTACATACACACAACCCAGATTCTTTGTTTCTCTCCCTCACCAGATATACCACACTGCACACACACATACACCACTCCACACAGATATAGCTTCACTCACACATAAAACATTCATGTCTAGATTTCTGCTTAGATGGCATAATTTGGGTGCCCTCTGTGAAAACCATTTACCAACCCTAGAACCATTCTGGTCTAGGCGTTTGATGGTGGGAGGACAGGAAGGGAGGTCTTCGTGTTTCAAGGAATCATTTTCGACAGAGGTCACAGGCGCCCTTCTCCAGAAGGACATCGGTCATGATTGGTTTCCACTTCCTGAATGTGAGTGATGACAGGAATTATTCTGAGATCCCATGAAAGCTCAGCACATGGTCAAGGCCAGAGAGGCCCCAGAAGGAGGTCACGGATCAGCCAGGTCCCATAGCTTACCCTCCTGCATGATGTCTACACAGTTATAGACAGACATGGTCTAGCAAGGCATCGCTGGCTCTCAGACATGCGCATAAGTACATCTGCGGTGCACAAAGAGTCACACAAACTCATAAACAAACTCATAAACAAACTCATAAATACTTTCCCTTATCACTCCTTTTCAGCAATAAGACCTATCTGCACAGGCCCAAGGCTAAGTCTCCCTCTCTCTCTCTCACCATCAGACATGCACGTGCCCACAATCTACACTCAACCCTACACATAGGCACACTCATGGCAATGCACACTCACACTGTACCTGGTCACACATGTGCACATCCATTTAGTCCCAAACATAGGCATACCTGCATGACATATTCACATGACATAATGCCTATGCATGACATTAATTCACTCACAAATACAAGTGTACACACAGGCATATTTACCCATATCCATAGACAGGTAGACTCAGTCTCACACACAATCAGACAATGAACATACATGGACATATAGAAGGGAGCTCACAAATATATATACACACACATCCAGAAACATCCACACAAGTATATTCACATACACTCACACATGGATGTACTCACACACATATTCTCCTAGATATGCACATGCCTGTAAATGAGATGATGTATACATATACAGACATTCTAACACAAGCAGACTTGTACACACAACTGGGTATGTATACCTATGCACATATTCACATGTATATAGACTCATATCATTATTTCCTATATGCACACATTCAGACATGGAAACACAAGCGTAGTCACAAAATACACTCATGCAATCACAGTCAGAAATGTACCATGTCTATCCACACATATTCATACACCTATATGAGAAGCTATGCAAAAAAAAGATTAATTTACACTTACATTCGAACAGACAGACTTGGATATACAGGTATGTTTACACACATGCACACATGGAAGTACACTCACATATTCTCACACACACTTATATACCTGCACAAGAACTGACACACACAAAGACATACACACACACTCAAATACACTTGCAGATCGAGAACAGCATGCACAAACACACATTCACTTAAACATTGTTCTACAACATATGCTCCCAAACAAGCAAAGACATATAAACATAAATACACATATGCAAATAATTAGAACTGGACAAACTGGTACATTGACTCACCTGTACATTCAGACAGGTATACCCAAACACATACGCTCACACATACACACAATTACATGTGCATGAACACACAGGCATATATACAGACATTTTCACTCAAACATACACACAGCCAGATGTTCACACATACTAGCATATATACACACATGTAAACTTACAGTCACACACAGGCATATGCAAACACATATTCACTTTCACACTCAGAAATTCAAACAAAACACATGAGACATGCACATGCAAGTATTAAAAAATGTAGTTACTCACAGATACCACAATCAGATATGCACTCACACACAACAGTGTACCCACAAACACAGTTAGACATATACACAAATGTATCCATTCACCCATGCACACAACCTGATATGCTTATCTATATACAGGCATGCACCTCCACAGCCATACTCATATATAATCAGATGTGCACACATATGTATACCCACAAAATATATTTTCATGCATACAGCATATATTCACACACTTTCCCTTACCCACACAATTAGTTCTGCTTATACTAGTGTGCCGATCTACACTAACATTTTCCCAATCAGACCGAGACCCATAGATCTGTCCAGAGACAACATGCAATCAAGCATGCACACACACACACACACACACACACACATAAATAATTTAAAATGCTGGTGAGTCCACTCACACATTTACACCTAGGCCTATTCATACATGTACATGACAGACTCACCCACATTCTGTTCACACACACATCTTCCCATACATGCATGGACATGTACATATATATGTCCTTACATTCACAAACACACCATTTAGATATACTCACACTTATATGCACATATGGGCATACACAAATATACACACTGAGATGTAACTAGGTATTCACCTAATCAGACATACATACCCAGGCATTCCAAAAACCACACACTCACACACACAATTAGACATGTATACACAGATGTACATTCAAAGGCACATTGATACTACACACATATACAACCAGACAAGGGTTGCTATGCTTCGGAATCGACTCGACAGCAACGGGTTTGGGTTTTTTTAAAAATTGGCTCAGAGAAACCCTCAGTCAGGCTTATAATCAAACATGCCCACTTGCTCACCCTGACAGACATGCACAGTCATACCTACCCCTCTGTACACACACAAGCTTACCCAGACACCCACACACTCACACATACCATCATAAGACTTGCTCACACACAGACTCAATACATCCACAGTGCCCATAAACAGACATGCACACACAAACAGACTACATACACAACCACACATTTTCAGTCACATATATACACCCAAGCTCAGGTCCAGATGCCTCTGGAGCACAGGCCGGGTCCTCTCCCTTCCACACTAAATGTTTCTTCAGAAAAGTCCAAACGCCCCACCCCTCCCTGCCCCCTCAGAGGGATCTTCTTAGCCTCAGTCTTTTCCCTCTTCCTGCTCCTCGCCTGGCCTCGAGGACCGTCCTCCAGCTACCAAACACTCACTTCATGTTCCACTGCAAACCAACCAGTAGACCCCACCCTGCCCCCACCCTGGGCTCCAGGATAGCAGTTCTCTGGGACCCCTTCCTACAGGTCTGGCTGTTGAATAGGCCACACCCCAGCTCTACCCTATGCCCTACGATCTCAGAAGCTCAGCCTTGTCTCCAAGCCCTGCCACCCACTGACCACTGCCCATACTCTTGCCAAGTATCCCCTCAACAGGGAAACATACATCATCAGGGTCAGGAATGCTGCAGGCTGCAAGATGGGCCTCTGCTAGCTCTTTGGGGCTCAAGCCTCTGAGTGTATGTGTGTGTGTGTGTGTGTGTGTGTGTGTGTGTGGTCATACAGGGAAAAGTGTAGAGAAAAAAGCCTGGAGTAAAGTGAGGATGACAGGCACTGCTCACAAGCCCCACTTGTCACTCCTTACAAATGAGAAGTGACAACATACAGCTGCCCCTGCCTCCCTTCTCCTTCTCCAGAATTATCTACCTGCTGTCCCCCGCCAGATCTCTGCTGAGACCTTGGAGAAGGGTGAGTCACTCCCCCAAATAATCAATAACAATATTAATCATAAATAATCAGTAACAATACTGACCATGAGCTTTGCTGACATTAGTTCAGTGCCACCTTTATGCCACATCCTTTATTTACATACATCAACTCATTTAATCCCTACACACACCCATGAAGGAAGGGTTACCAGCCCCTTTGACAGATGGGAAAAACTGATGATCTATAAGCATGCTTTCACTAAAGTTGCCAATCTAGTAGTTGGGGAAAGTGTCCCAGGTAGAATCTATGTTCTCCATGTATCAGGCTCTCCTGCATCACCAGACAAGGATTGGGGAGGTGGCCATAGGGACTTCTGGCTACTGTGCACAAGGCCATAAACTCTGGGAGTCCCAGACACATCATGGGCATCAGACAGAGAGATAGCCTTGTGATGGAGGCTGGAGCCCGAACTGTGGGGATGACCATATTGTGCCTGGCCCCTGCAGGCTGTCATGTGACTTGGTCTTTGCCCCCAGAGAGCCATCATGAAGCCATCAGGCAACCTAGGGCCTGGAAGTGTTCCCCACTCCCACCTCACCTTCCTTCAGCCCTACAGCAGCTTTCTCCCCCTAGCTGGGAATCACAGCAATATCTTCAGTGGTGAGCTGGCACAAGTCTGTGCTACCTGTGGGGAAAGACAGGGGAGGGAGGGAAGGAGCGAGGGAGGGAAGGAAGGAAGAAAAGAAGGAAGGAAGGGAGGGAGAGAGGGAGGAAGGAAAGAAGGAAGGAAGGGAGGGAAGAAAGAAGGAAGGAAGGACTGATAGACAAAAGGAAAGCGTGTAGGAGGTTTGGTTTGGGCTGGGGGCAGCTTCTCTGTCATGTCTACCCACCTGCCTACTACCTAGGTGCATGCGCGCGCACACACACACACACACACACACACACACACATCATGCACACAGGCCAAGGAACCTGGAGGAGAGTAGGGGAGGAGGGAGAGGAGGCAGCTGCAGGAGGCTAAGCCCGCCCAGGGTGCAGACACTGTGAGGGAAGCTCCCAGGCATCCCTTCCACTAGCAAACAAGGAAATGTTAACACAGCCTCATGCCCAAGCATGACCATAATAATAAAAACAGATCCTATGCAGGGAAGCAGGTGGTAGTTCCCTTTCTCATGGGACATTTGGGATTGGGGAAGATGAGGATGGCTAGAAGAGTGTCTAGGCTCGGGTGCCAGAATAACCCCTCTGATGGAGCAGGAAGACAGAGACTGACAGGCAGTCAGAGACAGAGAGCATGGCAGTGATGGAGACTCTGAAATATTGTGTGGTGAGACAGAAGATAAGTCCCAGCCCCCATCTTTGGTGGAGGGTGCTGACTGCTTACCTGGGTTCTCTCAGCAGGGTTGTCTTGGAATCCAGAAAGGGAGCTCAAGTTGTTTCACTCAGGATAAATCACAGGCCAGGCCACATCGCGGGACCCTCAGTGGTCTGGTGACCAGTGACACTCCTGCTTCTGTTGCCGTGGATACAGCAGGGCTGGTTTAAATCGCAGGCATCAGGGGAAGCAGGCACCGCAGGGGTGCACTGGGCAGGACTGGGGTGTTGGGGAACACCAGGTAGGCAGCACACAGCCTTGGGGTGTCCAGCCAGCTGGCAGGTTGGAGTCCTGGCAGGTGCTTCCCCCACTACACACTCTCACCCCCATCTTCACGACACTGCCTAGCTGGGAGGGGGGCCAGCGCTGTCCCCGCTACCGGTCTGCCCGCCTGGCTGCCAGCCCCCCTCCCCCATCTCCACATCCCCCTCCACCCCTACTCCACCCTGTCTGCCTGCTGGCCGACGCCTTTTGTCCTCAGAAGACACAGTCCCCGCGGGGCCTCTGCCAAGTCTCTAGCAGATGCTCAGGGTCTGGGGACCCTCCCTGGGAGCACTCGGGCCATGGCCTGGGAGAGCCCCAGGTTGGGGGGGTTCTCATCCAGGCTCACCCCGCACCCCAGACCTGGTGGGGCTGGGGAATAGGTGCAGGTCCACAGCCAGAGGCAGCAGCAGAGGTGGTGTTGGGGAGGGGATGGACGCCAGAAAGAGGGGGTGGGGTAAAAAGAGAGGCTGGCCTGATAGCTGTGTCAGGGTTTTAGATCCGGGTTGAAGAGGGTGGCTCAGAGCATTCAAGGGGGGGCCTGATGCAAAACGGGGGCACCATGAGCTTGCCGGAGGAATCCTCCTGGCCTGGGAACCACCCCAGCTCACAGAAATCCAGGCCCCAAGATGCTGGGGATATTCAGCCTGAATGGGGCGTCAGCGGGGAGTCTGGGGCTATGGGCTGGACCCCATCTGGCTTGTCTGTCCCCCCGCTCCTTGATTTGCACGGTCCCTGCCTCAGGGGCGGGAGGAGGAGGGAGGGAGGGAGGGAAGGAGGGAGAAGAGTGGAAGGAGGGAGGCTGAGCAGGCAGGGTGACTCCCAGCCGCCAGCGTGGTCCTCCCTTGGGCGGGGCGTGGAAGCGGGGACTGGCTGGGCCAGGGAGCAGCAGGCTGGCTGGCTGGCTGGTTGTTTGGCTGGCTAGGTGGGTGGGGGTGCTGGCTTGAAGGCTGTGCTGCCAGCACAATAGCTGGATTGGGAAGACAGGCTCAGGCCTTTCTGAGATGCACGAGAGAGGCATGTGTGGAAGTGGCGAAAGGTCACCAGGAGGCTGCTGAGAGGGCAACATGGGCTACAAGTGCAGAAGAGGCAGGGGATGGGGCGGGGTTCTGAGGTTGGGAACGGGGCAGAAAGGTCTGGTGGAAGTTTCTCAAAAGCTTTAGGATGGAAGGGATGCTTAGAACTCTGACAGGTAGGATAAATAACCTTATCTACAATGGAGTTCAGCACCTTTCTGGGCAAGGCCTAGAGAGTGGGGTAGGAGGGGTGGAAGGGGGGAGGAGCATTGCCCAGCTCTGAACAGTTACTCTCAGGATACGTCCCCTACCACTCCTGCCTTCTCTGGGCCAGTAGACGCGCATGCACCCAGGCCAAGTTCCGGGACAGCAGAATGGGAGGAAGCCTGGTAGGCAGAGATTTGAAGACAAGGGGAAATGTTTTTCTGTCCTCGATGGGATTAAATTGGGACCCAATGATGCCACTGTGGTTCCCCTAATTAGAGCGTTCAAGAATCCCAATTCTCTCCATATAAGAAATTTTATCTTATTTCCTTTCTTCATCCATTGGTACATTCATTTATTAAACATAGCTTTATGCTATGCCCAGTGCTGTGCCCTTAGGAAACCCATGCTCTACTACCAAACTGTGGTCCTAGAACCCACCTGCATCTGAATCCCCTGGAGAGCATGTGAAATGAAGATCTCCAGACCCAACTCCCAGAAATACTGATCTAGTAGGTTTGAAATGGGGCTCCAAAGCCCACATTTTGACAAGGCCCTCCACTGGCCCTCCATATGTTTATGCCCACTGAAGTTTGGGCACTATACTTTGGAGAGGGAGAAAAACCAATGAGTCAAAAATAAAATCACAATGGAAATTAGAAAATATTTTGAACTGACTGATAATGAAAGTATTACATATGCAATCTTGTGGGATGCTTCTAAGGCTGTTCTTAGAGAGAAATTTATAGCCTTAAATTCATATATAAAAAAAGTCCAAAAATCTATGAGCTAGGCATCCATCTCTAGAAGTTAGGAGACTATAGCAAATTAAATTTAATTTAAAGAAAGTAGAAGGAAGGAACTAATAGAGATAAGAGCAGAAATCAGTGAAATAGAAAACAGAACTACAACAGAGAGATCAACACAGACAAAAGTTGGTTCTTTGAAAAAACTAGGAAAATGATAAACCCCTGTGAGATTGATCAAGAAAAAATATAGAGAAGGCACACAACTAGTATTGGGAATAAAGAGGGACACAATCCAGGTCACAGAGATGCTAAATATATAATAAGAGAGTATTTTGAAAAACTTTATACCAAGAAATTTGAAAATTTAGATAAAATGGAAAAATTCCTGGAAAAAAAAGACGTAATTTACTACAACTCACACAAGAATAAATAAAAAATCTGAATAATCCTATAACTATTGAATTTGTAATTAAAAAGCTTTCTACAAAATACTTCCAGGCGCAGACTTTGAATCGTGAATTCTACCAAATATTTAAAGAAAAAAAAAAAACCCTAGTTTTCTAATTTTACACAAATTTTCACAGGGATATGGAGGAAAATTATATGATCATTTCAATAAATGCAAAAAATGCATCATGACAAAAAACCTTAGCAAACTTAAATTTCTTAATTTAATATATGTTATCCACAAAAAACTTACAGAAAATATCATATCTAACAGAGACGTGTTAAATGCTTTTCCTCTAAGATTGGGAATGAGACAAGGATGGCCACTCTAACTACTTTTATTTAAATTGTACTGGCAAGAGCACTAAAGCAAGGACAATAAATCAAAAAGGAAGATATAAATATGTAATTATTTGCAGATTATATGATTTTCATATATAGAAAATTAAAAAGAATTTACAGAAAAATTATTAGAATTAATAAATAAGTTTATCACATTGTAAGACATGAGGTCAATATATAAAAATCAGTTATTTTTCTATATACCATCAAGAAAGCATTAGAAAATGAAAAAACAGAAGGTACCATTTATAGTAGCATTAATACATGTCAAATACCCAGTAATTAATTTAATGAAAATGTGCAAGACCTCTACAGATCAAAATATAAAACATCATTGAAAGAAATTACAGAAGACCTAAATAAGTGGAGCAATAGACCATGTTTAAGAATTGTAGTGATGCCTGGCTACCACCAAAGACCACCCTGACAGGGAACACAACAGAGAGTCCCCAACGGAGCAGGAGAAAAGTGGGGCACAGAACTCAATTCTAGTAAAAAGACCAGACTTAATGGTTTGATTGAGACTGCAGGGACCCCGGAAGACATGGCCCCGGGACTCTCTGTTGGCCCAGAGCTGAAACCATTCCGAGGCCAACTCTTCAGACAAAAATTAGACTGGACTATGGGACATAAAATGATACTCATGAGGAGAGCACTTCTTAGCTCAAGTAGATACACGAGACTAAGTGGGCAGTTCCTGTCCAGAGGCGAGATGAAAACGCAGAGAGGGTCAGGAGCTGGTTGAATGGACATGGGAAATCCGAGGTGGAAAGGAGGAGTGTGCTGTCACAGTATAGAGAGAGCAACTAGGGTCACATAACAATATATGTATAAATTTTTGTATGAGAGACTAACTTGAATTATAAACTTTCACCTAAAGCACAATTAAAAAAAAAAGAATTGTAACGATATGTCGATCTTCTCAAATTGATAGTCAATAAATTACTAACTAAAATCCCAGCAGGTGTGTGCGCCTCTGTGTGTGTGTGTGTGTGTGTGTGTGTGTGTGTGTGTGTGTAATTTGACAAGCTGATTTTAACATTTCTTTAGAATTGTAAAGGGCCAAGAATACCCAAGACATTCTTTTTTTTTTAATCTAATTTTTTTTAGTCTGATCTTTGTCTGCAGAGTTGGCTTTGGGAATGGTTTCAGTTCTAGGCTAACAGAGAGTCTGGGGGCCATGTCTTCCAGGGTCCCTCCAGTCTCAGTCAGGCCAGTAAGTCTGGTCTTTTTACTAGAATTTGAGTTCTGCACCCCACTTTTCTCCTGCTCCGTCAGGGAATCTCTGTTGTGTTCCCTGTCAGGGTGGTCATTGGTGGTAGCCGGGCACCATCTAGTTCTTCTGGTCTCAGGCT